TTTTTTTTTTTTACCCCTTCATCAACGAGGAACTCAGGTGTGTCATGAGGGGAAAAGGCTTGGACACTGGGGTCCCACCTCATTTTCAATGATCAGGACAGAAGACTGTGACTCCTGGGGGCTGGACCTGGTGGATCCAGTCTGGGGCTTCTTCGCAGGGGCTTTTGTGACAGAGTAGCTGTGGAATCCCAGGGGAGGTGCGGAGGCCCTGAACAAGAGCTCTGGAGGGTGCTTTACACAGTCCACACCTGGATACTTTACAACCTGTCACCACAGAAGGAAGAGCCCTGAGGCCTAGGCCGGGTGGTGCACACATATCGCTACAGTCTGGGTCAGGGGCAGGAGGCCTCAAGCCAATATGGGGCATAATCCGGGGCTGAGGAGAAAAATGGTATGAGGTGAGAAATAGTGAGTGGAGTAGAGGTAGCAATTCAGGAGACCAAAGCTAGCCTCGAATGGGGTAAACACAAGGGAGGTTCGAGAATTAGGGGCTTGCTGTCCGGTGAAATACAGTCATGAGAAGGCAGCTCTTCACAGAGGCGGAGGGGAGAGAGGTTCTTGGGAGATAGATGTATCATGGACGCAGTCAGGAGTGAGACATTTCATTGGGGTGAGATGGCCATGGGTGGGAGATATCCATGGACGTGCATAGTCATGGGGTGAGCTATAAGGGGGGGGGCTCACTTCACTTTGCACGGTCTGTCCATTAGGGTCCAGCACAACGAAATGGCCTTTGCTGACTGGCAGCCTCACCATCCAATTCACGTGGCGTCCCAGGGGGTTGTAGACGAGGACCTGGAACTGGGATAGGTGGTGGGGAGAAGCTTATGTCAGGGTAGACCTGTGTCACATAGACAGTACCAGGTGGGGTTTTTGTGTGAGAATCGTAGTATTTACCAGCTCCCTTCTGTTAAGAACCTGCCTGAATGTAGATAGGCCCGCAAGCACTGGCCTAAGTGGGAGCCCTTGGACAGAGACTTGTCCCAAAGGATGATACACACCTGCTGTCCCCATCCCCGGTTATCCAAGTTCTTAGATTCTGGTCCTGCCTTCACCTGTCTTGCCTAGTTTTTCTCTGAGAAGATGCTGCTTACTTGATCTTCCTGCCAGAACCCTGCCTACCTACCTGTTGTCCGGGCTGCCTTAGGCTCTGCTGGTCCTTCCTGCTGTCGCTGACAGAGAAGTCCCGGGCCTCCCCTACACTTCTCTTGCTCACTCAGACACCAGCTGTCAGGACTGGGCGTTATTAGGCTGTGCCCTGACCACTGGTCCCAGACCCCCTTCAAACCACACCCATCCCTGCTGGGACCCTCTGCCTCAGGGCCGGCTCACGTGCGCTGCCCCTTGGCTGAGCGGGCAGACGCTGACGTTGAGTCCGTGGCAGAACGTGAGCTTGTGCTTGGCGCCGCTGAGTCTGGCCAGAGCGTTGCTCAGGAGCACCTGGGAAGAGGGAGAGCAGAGGGGCGGGGCGGCCATGGTCCCTCTTCGAAGCACCCTCTGTGCCCCTCCCTTATCTCACCGCACAGTGTCTTTTGCTGTTGTCGTTGTCCTCAACCAGGTGGCAAAGGTGAGGATCCTGTGCCCATCCGACCTTGGCCCCATCAGTGCGGGGCTTTACTCC